TCTTCTGAGCCAGGAGTCCTGCAGCTAAGCATGTGAGAAGGCAGCTGCATACCTGTTAGAAGAATCCATGGGACCTTAGCAAATTGGGGGTGCGTCAGCCTTGACTCTACTTCAGGCTAGGGTTGCCCCAGAGAATGATGCTCCTAGGCACTCAGGCTTTCCAAGCGAAGTCCAACTAATATTTTAATAATGTAAAATCTCCCCATATTTCAACATTGGCAACCAATCCAAATTTCTAAAAAATCACTGTGTACATAGGGCAGATCACACTCATGGGCTACCAGTTGTGACTTCGAAATTCTTGTCTTGATATCTCTTAAGTCTTCCTTCTTTCTAGGCACTAATCTCTTATTCCATTCTTAATTCTGTATTTTAATTGCTGAATGTATTGTAATTTAACTCTGAAAGATACAGACGTTCCTGCTGATAGGCATTTTCAGATTTATTCTTTATTTCCCTCTCTTTTTCTTTAGACAATTTATTTCCTTTTTGTATCTTAGACAAATATATGATGCATGATCATACTTTCTGTGCTAATTACTTTATATAATTTGACAATAATGTTGGTACACAGGAAAATCTGTTGTGTGACAGCACTAACACCTACATTTTAGGTTAACCACTCCAGTGTGATCAGCCTTTCACTGCACTTCAAACATGGAGGGGCATTACTGACCCACGTAATGGTGTATAAAAGCAGTTTTACTCCACTTCTTGCTAAAGGGTTATCAATATTATAATCTAATTTATTCCCAAAGATCTATTCCCATAAGTCATTTTTGGTTGGTATATTGTATTTAAACAAAAGCCAAGTTCATAGGACTAAACTCATGCACATTAGTCAGTGACTTGAAAATTCCTGACTGTACCTTTGTGTGTGACTTGGTGTGATCAGAAACGATAATTACAGTGATACAGAATACTATTGCTGAGCGCCCATAACATACTTCATGTACTAAGTACTCTGATCAAAGGACCCCTCCTTTATTAAAAGAGGAAATAAGACTCAGAAAGGTAAACAAAACAATAACTAGAAACCTTTTCCAGTGATGCAGGGCTAATCAGTGGAAGGCTGAGATTTGAATTCAGGTCTGGACCCTAGAACCCATATTATTTCCCAACTCTGCCCAAATAATTTGAAGATCATATGGGCTGCCCTCACAACTATTTTTCCCCTCCAACACTGATATTTAAAGTATCACAGACTCTTCTTGTGGTTCATAAGCTCCTGCCAATAACATTCTTATGTACCACTGTACATATTAATAAACAAAAATTTAGAATATTTTCCTCAAAGTATCCAAGTCTTCAGAATATATATTTCCCTTTCTAAACTGAGAAATATGCCAGGAGCACTCTATGCCTGATATTTATTTTTCTAAGTTTAGAACTGATTCCATTCCATGCAAATGTCCCCTGTCTTCATCCTCCCTATCTTATTCCAGGCCCTCTTCATTCTTTGTCTGGTTACAACTGCCTCTTAACTGGGACTCCCAACTCATCCTGTCCTCTTCAAATCCATCTTCCATATTGCTACTAGAATGATCACACAAAAAACCTTTAACATCTTGGTTAACAAATACATCAGGCCCTTTGCCTCTCTATTTCTAAGACCAAAGTATACCCTAGGCTGTCATTACTTCAAACTTTCTCATGACTCCCATCAGCCTGGAAAGTCCTCATATCTCCTTGACCCGTTTACCTTATTGTTTTATTTGACATGACTCAGTTCAAGTTTTCCCACTTGTTCCTAGGAAGCTCTTTCCTAACCATTGTCTAGCAGCTGAACTTCCATGCCAAACAAACACTAATTTCCCATTCAGACTACAGAGTTCCTTGAGATCAGGAGCCACATCTTACTCCCTGCATACCCAAAACATGAAAAACTTTTCTTCTTACTCATTAAGTAATTTAATGGAAGAAAAAAATCATAGAGTTGTTTTGGGGGTCATATTGTCTGGGCAGTCCTGGCAAAGAACACAGGGGTACCAGGAAACAAATAGCACAGTTAAGAAACAGTTAAGGCAGAGCTGCCTTGGTGTTCCCTGATGTCCTTTGGAGAAATATATACTTAAAGTCCATGACAGGTAAGAGGGCCATAAGAGGTGGATTGTAAACTGTTCTTACTTTTTGAGATTGACCTGACTTGGGGAAGCTTCTGTTGCTTTTTGTGTTTGGTACATAAGTATTTGTTGAATGAATAATAGGTACCAAATATTAAGCCATGATTCAGGTACTGGAACTGAATTTGCACAATGAAAAGAATAAAGGAAGTAACTACAGCACCTTCTTCTGGGTGCACATTTTATTTTTTATATATACATGAAGAGCAGTTTATCTCTATCATGAATTAACAAAAGACATTTCAGTTGTACTCACCTCAAGTGCTGCTGTTCAGCAGCAGCAGGTGCTTCTGCCAGTACTCCTCAGCAGCTTAAAAAGTCTTTTTCTGCCAAAGTCCTTATTAGGAAATAGTAACTCAATGGATTCTACATATATAACTTATACTTACTTCCCTCAGTAATGACCAGTGATAAGCTATAGTAAAAGCTCAAGAAACCAGCAGATAGGAATGATAAAGAAGCAACCAGTGATTTTAATCTAGGTAATCCAAGTGTTAATTCATGAGGGGCAATGTGGTCTCATTCTTAACTTCCTTTCCTTTCTCTCCTTATCTTTATATAATATTTACAAATATGCAATTTATATATATATATAATATTTATAAATAATCAAATCCCTTCTATTCATAAAGGTCTCGGTTTTTTTACCCACACCATCCCACCACTAACTAGCAACAAACTCCCTTCCATAAACTTCAGAGGGCAGGAGGCCTGCCACATACATGATTAAATAAATGTTCATTGAGCAGTGGGCACTGAAAGTTTGCATGCTTAGTTTAGTCTAACTGTTAGTATGCTTGAAGGTGGGATGATTTTGGTGATTGAGACATTTTTTTCTGAGAAAAAGAGATACCAGCAATTCTGGTTCTGACAAAGCTGTAGTTGGTAAGGAACACTTAGCGTTCCTATAGAATTACTTAACTTGCCCATTCTAATTTCATACTTTTCCAGGTAAAGAAACGAAAGCCTGCAAAGGTTAAAAAAAAAAATGGCTCAAATTCATATAGCTTTAAAGTACAAATCTAGAAGCAGGGCCTTGGCCTCAAAATGACTAGTATACTGATTTTGACCAGAACATTATCCCTATAGAAACTACTGCTTCTAAGTTTTTGGCCATGGAAATGGAAAGAAATGTTGTCTAAAAGTGGATATCCAGACCAGCTGAAATACTAATACGTGGACACATTAGAACATGATTTCAGTATTGCTGGCCGGTTATCTCTTAATTGGAAGATGAATGCCGCTACCTTTAAGTTTAGTAACTTGAGTTTAGAGTTTCTCATCTTCCTTGAGTTCCTTTATGGGCTTCCTTTTGAACTCTGTCTCTATCATCCATCTTACTTAATCACTTTAAGTCTACTTTTTCAATAACCATGTTTGGCACATAAATTTTATTACAATATTATTAATCCCACTTCTCAAACACTTAATGAATGTGGTAGAATTTGGTTGAGGGCTGCAATGCCAAATCAATGTATTTGGTTAGATATGGGAAGCTACCAGAGATTCCAGCAGTTAAGAGACAATTTATAGCTGTTTCTAGAAAATTCTTCACTTTGATTCTAGTCTTTCTTCTCTTTTTCATTTTTACCTAAGAGAATCGAATGTGCAAAGTATTCATCTACACAAATTTCATAGGAAGTTTACCATCAAGTTTACTTCTTTGATTAAAATATAAGAAATCCCTCATGTCCAAAATATGGAAGTGACTGGGAAAGGAAATCAGTTGAAAAGGGAGCAATAAATATACAACAATCAAACTAACTGCATTTTATACACTGAAAATTTATGGGAAGACTAAAATTACTCTAGTGGAAATTAGTCTAAATCTACTTTAGCCTCTTTAAATTTCAATATCTAGTACTAGACAGTTTCTTTTCACACACAATTACTGACTGTATACATTTAATCTTTATTTTACTGGAAACATCCTGATATACAATAGACAAACTGAGAATTACAGGATAGTTAATGAAGAGTACATACAGGGCAGGTAACAGACACTGAGTTTGAAGGTTCTGACAGTACAGTTAGAGCTCAGAAATGATAGTTTAGAAATACAGAAGACAAGAGACATTAAAGCCAACAAAACAACAATTGTTAAGAGTAGAAAACAAAAATTTATAAAAACTTAAGTTAACTTTAAAGTATATATTTTTCTTCCTTAAAAACATTATACAAATAACAAAAATGATAGAGCAAATCTGCTTGTCAGAATGGAAAGAATGTTAAGAATTAGAAAAGACCATAGTTATATCATCTCATCCACTCTATTTCATGAATGAGGAAACGAGCTTACTGAATCACTTTGCCCATCTGATAAACACTTAAAAGTTATACATACTTTCAGATTACACATTTAAGTAAATCTCCATTTCATTAGGTATACTAATGAAATGGAGAGCTCAATTAGGAGGTAAGCCCTGAACATAGCTGTCACTTTGTAGACACAGACTGAAAAAAATGTGCTAACACATGTATAAGAACTCAGAAATTCTGATAGCCCTTAAGAATCTATACTATTTTTAAATGGACTGATTATTAATACAAACAAAATACTCTTGTAGTACATTTCTATTTCCAAAATGTGACTTAATGATGAAAATATAATGTCAATTATCTGTTATGGTCTTTTAATATTTTCTGGTTATAAATTTATAATTTGGGGCAAAACTACAATGAGATGCCAGTTTAGAAGAAACTAATTTTGCAGTGCCTCCTTCTGCCTTTGACCCCTTAACACAACCTGCATCAGTTGCTTCTTTACCACATGTAAAATAACCACAAAACAGAATCAGTTTAGTAAAATGAGTGCCAATCACATGCAAGGTGTTCAAATGATTTAGCTGGCCATAATCAGGTCAAATTTAAAGTCTATTACTTTAATTCCAAATAATGTGGTAATACATTATTCCAGAATTTTTTGGAACCTGGTGGCCCATTCTCTAAAAGTTGTTTTGACTGCACTGGCCTTTTGAACCTCTGCTCTTTCCCCTTTCCCTGTGAGTTAGTAACAGACTTTTTTTGATATGTTCTATGTCTGTCACATTTCATAGATCCTTTTATTTTGCTCTCTTTTTTGGACTCTTTTCTGTTACCCTGACTTTCCTTCTCTTTTTCACCCATTTCCTGGTATTTCCCCTCTTCTTCCTCATTGTCTACCTCTTCTTCCTCCTCCCCTTCCCTCTCCTTCTTTTTCCTATTCTCCCCTTCCTCTTCTCCCTCTCCTTCCCTTTCTTCTTCTTCTTCTTCCCCCTTTCCTTCGTTTTCCTCTTCTTCCTCCTCTCCTTCATTTTCCCCTTCTCCTTCTTCCTCTTCCCCATCTCCTTCCTCACTCTCCCCCTCTCCTTCATTTTCCTCCTCTCCTTCCTCTTCTTCCCTCTCTCCTTCATCTTCTTCCTCTTCCCCCTCTCCTTCCTCTTCTTCCTCCTCTTCCCCCTCTCCTTCCTCTTCCTCCTCATCTTCCCCCTCTCCCTCCTCTTCCTCCTCCTCTTCCCCCTCTCCTTCCTCGTCTTCCCCCTCTCCTTCCTCCTCT